CTCGGCGGCTGCTTTAGCCGAACGTAGCCGTTTTTAAGGTTATTCGAAAAAGATTCAAGCATTTACCGCAGTAATCAAATTGCTTAGCGCTCATTCTTGAGCCGAACTTCAGACCGCGTCATTGAGCCGGCCGCGTCATAGATCTTATGAACTTTCTGTTTTTTGAAAGAGGTTCAAGAGAAGATTTATCATACACGGCTAACTGTTATAAATCCCATTTAGCGTTGTTGATCGAAGTGCCAATAAAAATTTGAATCAGTCACCTCTATCAAACACGTGTCACAATCCAGTTTCAAGTAGGGAGACAATCTTTGCAGGTAAACATCAAAATCGGCAGGTTCACGCAACCAAGATGCGTCGACGGTTAGAGCATCATCCGGCATGTCAAGATCCAGGGAGAACTCTTCGCAAAGCAGCTATCATCACCAGGACATTGTGAGTGGTTGATCTCCACACTCCAGTAATGGATACCATACCGAAATGTACGATGACCGACAAAACTACCCCGGGGGAAACGAGATCTGAGTGGACTGGGGGTGCTCGATCCGCTGCTGCTTTGGGATGAGGTGCTGCTGCTCGATCCACTGTTGGTTTGGGAAGAGGTACTGGTACTTGTTCCACTGCTGGTTTGGGAAGAGGTACTGGTACTTGTTTCGCTGCTGGTTTGGTAAGAGGTACTGGTGCTTGTTCCACTGCTGGTTTGGGAAGAGGTACTGGTACTTGTTCCGCTGCTGGTTTGGGAAGAGGTACTGGTACTTGTTCCGCTGCTGGTTTGGGAAGAGGTACTGGTACTTGTTCCGCTGCTGGTTTGGGAAGAGGTACTGGTGCTTGTTCCACAGCTGGTTTGGTAAGAGGTACTGGTACTTGTTCCACTGCTGGTTTGGGAAGAGGTACTGGTGCTTGTTCCACTGCTGGTTTGGGAAGAGGTACTGGTGCTTGTTCCACTGCTGGTTTGGTAAGAGGTACTGGTGCTTGTTCCGCTGCTGGTTTGGGAAGAGGTACTGGTACTTGTTCCGCTGCTGGTTTGGGAAGAGGTACTGGTACTTGTTCCGCTGCTGGTTTGGGAGGAGGTGCTGGTACTTGTTCCGCTGCTGGTTTGGGAAGAGCTCGGGGTACGTGATTGGTTGCGTCTTTGGGGTGGGGTGGGGTGGGGATGCGAGATCAGTAGCGTCTTTGGGGTAGGCTGGGGGGACGGGATCTGTTGCGTCTTTGGGGTGGGCTGGGGGGACGGGATCAGTTGCGTTTAGCACGTTTAATGTACTACCTACACTGTGTTTCAACAGTAAGTATGCATGCCTGGATTTAAATACGATCACATAATTAGTGGCGAGTCGATTCTCGCTGCGAATGCAAGACACTGAGGGATCAGATATGATTCCATTTCTTAAAATGACAAAATTGAAGGTTTTGTTCCCAGTTGTTGTAACAAGTTTGGAACAAGCTGTTAACAACTTGTAACAAGCTTGATGGCATTATCAGACTCGTCACAAGGTTGTTCTTATAAACAAGTCTGATACAGCCATGATATAACAAGAATGTTACAAGGTTGACGACACAAGGTTGTAACAGTACTGCTATATCATGACTGTATCGGACTTGTTGCAACAACCTTGTAAAAAGCCTGGGGCCGGTTGTATAAAAACGTAGTTAGCGCTAACTGTAGTTAGCGTTAATCACTGTAGTTAAATCCTTAACTGTAATTAGTTAACTACATGACTTAACTGCGTTGCACAAAACGTAGTTAGTCGGATAGTTAACTAATCAACAGGTGGGAAATTTGTCGTCGCTGACCAAAAAAATTGCGGGCAGAAACAAAGCTCATTGCATTTGGTAATTGCTAGATAGTATACTTCAAAATAAGATTTCCGTTTTTATAACGTAGAAAAAACCATGCTAACGCAAAATTAAACCCTAACCCTAATACTAACCTTAACCCTAACCCCAACCCCAACCTAACCCCAACCCTAACCTAACCCTAACTTATTTAAAAAATTGATATAAAAACGGAAACCTTATTTTGAAGTATACTATCTAGCAATTTCCCATTGCATTTACATTCAAAACAAAGCAGAAAGTTGGCAAGAAGCTCTTTTAGCTGACGATTTTTTGCTTTCCATTCAACGATTTACAAAGTATTGGTTATTCTTTTAAAAGTCGATCATGAATTCTTTGTTTTGGGATGATTGTTTTGTAATCGAGTGATTGGAAGAAGTTAATATGGCGACGTGAACATGGGAGTAAATACCGTATACGTCGATCTATGGCTTGTTTAAAACCGTAATAAACGAAGAAAGACGTGATTTGAGAATGAAATGTAAGTTGCAATTAACTTTATATGCCTCAAATTTTCCATCCTATGTTTCTTAATGTAACTTCAGCTGTCTAAGTTCAAAATACAAGCTCGCGAAATTTGACAAATTTTGAAAATATGTAAAAATAGCTTGACTTTGAACTGTATTTTCTCAAAAATAGCCCGTGGCCTCAATTTCAAATATAGCTAAATGAAAAGAAAAACGTTTTCGGCGTTTGTAGGTATCAAACATATCGTCAGGAAAATAGGGGCTCACAATGTTTTAGTTCAGTCTTTGAGAACCAGTTGCTTCGCACGTGTTGTGGTCAAATTTTTGCCAAGAATCAAAGGCCGAAATGTGAACTTCCTTCATGAAAACCGCTTCGAGAAGGGTCTAGTTTGAAAATTTAGCTATTAATTTCGATTTCATGAGCATATTTTGGTTACACGTTAAGTATTTTTGTGCTTGATGAGATTCAAAATTTGTTGTATATTCAAGCCCGGCTTTTGTGTAATTTTGGTGATGACCGGAACAGAAATAAAGATATTTTAAAAACTGGCCGTGGCCTCACGATAAAACTTTCTACAAATGTTCTCTGTTTCATGTACTTTTATTTTATATCTTAGCTATAAGCGTAAAAATAGGGGCTCATACAGTTTGAGAGGTTGTAAAATGAATGACTTGCCTCTATTTTCATGTAAACATTCGAAATTCTTTGACAGCAAAGTAGGAACTGTTTCAGATCGAATCACACGGACAGCCCACCAGAGACAATAGCAGGGTACTGAAATAGAACGTCACTAAAAAAATCTGTATGATTAATTTAGATCATGTCCACTCTTTCAACATAAAACAGTCATTTGTTTTGTACAAACATTTGGCAATATTCACACGATTGTGCTTTTTGTAAACACGCGTTGCGTTGCTCATTTTACTCGCGCATGCTCAGACAAATTTCCCACCTGTTATATATATATATATAGATATATAGATATATATATATATATATATATATATATATATATATATATATATATATATATATATATATATATATATATATATATATATATATATATATATATATATATATATATATATATATATATTTTGGGTGTCCCAAAAAAAAGTACTTTGATTCGTAATAACTTCTAAACAAGTAAAGCTTTTAAAGAGAAATAACTTGCATCAAATAGAGGAAGGACTTACTTAGATCTTGATATATTAGAGTTGTATTTCACTTAAAAATTCACGGAGATATTAATGTTTAAAATCGGGAGCATATTTCTAGATGTGTCTGAAATATGCAAAAAACGGCGTATCAAATATTAATCAACATTTGCTCGACTGAAACATGCACTATTACCATGCAGTACACAAATGACATTTGACAAATTGTTTATTATGAAACAAAGTATTATTATCTACAAAATACAAGCAAGATTTATTTGTCCGAAATCCGTGTGCATGTGTTCCTAGCACGAATACTTTTCCTAATTTCATGAGACCACTGCATCGCGAAGGATCGTCATGAATATCCGCGTTCGTATAGTTCTGAATTAGGGCATGCTGTCACAATATAAAATTGTGAAGCTCTTCTAACTTCTTCAAAGTTCTGAAATCTTGTTAAGAAAACTCAAACTCTTTTGCCTTTTCTTAATCTTGTTTATCTTGTTAAGTTCAGAATAAACTGAGAATGAAACACAATCAAACCATACAAACTCCAACAGGTGGGAAATTTGTCTGAGCATGCGCGAGTAAAATGAACCACGCAATTGCGTGGAATACACGCAACGCGTGTTTACAAAAAGCCACAATCGTGTAAATATTGCCAAATGTTTGTACAAAATAAATGACTGTTTTATGGTAAAAGAGTAGACATGATCTAAATTAATCATGCAGAATTTTTTAGTGACGTTCTATTTCAGTACCCTGCCATTGTCTCTGGTGGGCTGCCCGTGTGCATTCGATCTGAAACAGTTGCTACTTTGCTGTCGAAGAATTTCGAATGTTTACATGAAAATAGAGGGAAGTCATGCATTTTACAACCTCTTAAACTGTATGAGCCCCTATTTTTACGCTTATACCTAAGATATCAAATAAAAGTACATGAAACAGAGAACATTTTCAGAAAGTTTTATCGTGAGGCCACGGCCAGTTTTTAAAATATCTTTATTTCTGTTCCGGTCATCACCAAAATTACACTAAAGCCGGGCTTGAATATACAACAAATTTTGAATCTCATCAAGTACAAAAATATTTAACGTGTAACCAAAATATGCTCATGAAATCGAAATTAATAGCTAAATTTTCAAACTAGTCCCTTCTCGAAGCGGTTTTCATGAAGGAAGTTCACATTTCGGCCTTTGATTCTTGGCAAAAATTTGACCACAACACGTGCGAAGCAACTGGGTCTCAAAGACTGAACTAAAACATTGTGAGCCCCTATTTTCCTGACGATATGTTTGATACCTACAAACGCCGAAAAGTTTTTTCTTTTTATTTAGCTATATTTGAAATTGAGGCCACGGGCTATTTTTGAGAAAATACAGTTCAAAGTCAAGCTATTTTTACATATTTTCAAAATTTGTCAAATTTCGTGAGCTTGTATTTTGAACTTAGACAGCTGAAGTTACATTAAGAAACATAGGATGGAAAATTTGAGGCATATAAAGTTAATTTCAACTTACATTTCATTCTCAAATCACGTCTTTCTTCGTTTATTACGGTTTTAAACAAGCCATAGATCGACGTATACGGTATTTACTCCCATGTTCAGGTCGCGATATTAACTTCTTCCAATCACGCAATTACAAAACAATCATCCCAAAACAAAGAATTCATGATCAACTTTTAAAAGAATAACCAATAATTTGTAAATCGTTGAATGGAAAGCAAAAAATCGTCAGCTAAAACAGCTTCTTGCTAACTTTCTGCTTTGTTTTGAATGTAAATGCAATGAGCTTTGTTTCTGCCCGCAATTTTTTGGTCAGCGACGACAA